ACGTTTGTAGAGAAGAATTTTACAATGATTGATCTATTTAAAACGAAGAACTTAAGATGGCGAACAATAAACATAAGTTTCAATTGGTGAGTAAGTTCACTTTTCTACCCGGACCATTATCACAGAATTAAACACGACACATGCGTTATTGTTGAATACTTATTATGGAATACGTTTTTGTTTGATATCCAAACTATTGTAGGTTCGCAAACAGTTTTGTGTACTATGGCTTGTCTGTTAACGTAACATCACTATCGGACAATCCATATGCCAGCTTTTTCCTGTATGGCGCAGTGGAAATTCCTGCGTATCTATTGACATGGTATTTATTGGATAAAGTTGGGAGAAGACTGCTAATCTGTGTATTTATGGTGATTGGCGGCTTAAGTCTGATTATAATAGCTCCAGTGAATAACACATGTGAGAATTTGTCGTTCAAAGCAAGCGATTTATCTTTCCATTCACAGTAACATTTTATTAAAACTTAAAACTGTACTAAAAATATTCCAGTCCAGCATCAAGCATTTAGATAGTGTCAAGAACCGTTTTGAACAGGACGATTATATGCAAACGTCTCATCATGATCATTCTTATTGCACGTCATATTGTTTTCAGAATTAAAATGAAAATGGCCAAATATCGGTCATTTTGTTCACGTCCATGTCTGTTTCTCATTAACATATCGACCACCTGATTTCGTTGAAAGTACAACTACTAATTTGTCGAATTGACGACCATTTCGTCTAAAATGTAATAGTTTGCATTGTGTACATAACCGCTCCTTGCAGATAAACAGAATGAATTTATTCAAACCTTGTATCAGGATTATGGATATTGGTGCAGATCATAATGTTTATTCATGTCAATCAATACTATATTATCTGACTCAGTTGAGTATGCATAAAAGTATTATTATATTGGTTTTGTTATTTTTCAATTCGATGAAATTTGTTGAAATGACGTAAATCCTAAAATCATAGTTTATAAATGTGTTTGGAATCATTTCTCGCAGATGACGACCATTTCGTCTGAAATGTAATAGGTTGCATTGTGTACATAACCGCTCCTTGCAGATAAACAGAATGAATTTATTCAAACCTTGTATCAGGATTATGGATATTGGTGCAGATCATAATGTTTATTCATGTCAATCAATACTATATTATCTGACTCAGTTGAGTATGCATAAAAGTATTATTATATTGGTTTTGTTATTTTTCAATTCGATGAAATTTGTTGAAATGACGTAAATCCTAAAATCATAGTTTATAAATGTGTTTGGAATCATTTCTCGCAGATGAACAGAACTTAGTCTCAAAATCATACAAGCTGGGTAACAAGTGCAGATCAAATCAATTTTGAGATTAAAAAATAGCAATCATATAATTTGTCATGGTATCCAGACTAGTTATTCTGTCTCCATGTCTGATTATAATAACCACTTTTGTCAGTTGTTGCACGTCAAGTCATATTGCATTGCAGTTTAAATGTTGATGACATAGATGGCATTACTGAACACTAAGACTACCATCAACCATTAACTACCATTAACTACCATTAAGTACTATTAACCATTAGCTACCGATAACTGCCATTAAAACTACCATTAAAACTACCATTAAACATTAACTACCATTAAAACTACCATTAAAACCATGCCGTGATCGTACAATGTCAATGCTTAAGAAAACATTGTCATGAGTCAAAGCAAAAAAATGTCTATTAATAAATAACCACGCAGATAGAAATATCTTGTAATGCCTTTCACTTGTATTTGGTCACAAGTCTTTGTAATAACTTCATAATATAACCAGTGACAGTCAATAACAACTAAACACATATTTGCTTTTCAGCATTGGATGGCTTGGTGTCATTTTTGGCGTTATTTGGCAAATTTTGCATTGCTGGTTCCTATGCAATAGTTTATATTTTAGCAGCAGAGATATATCCTACACCTATCAGGT